CGCCTTACGATGAGTTGGTGCCGATCCTGTTACTGGGATGGGCAATGGAGGCCTTGATAGGGGGGTTATTTGTGGCGAGCAAGGAGCTGATTGTTGTCTCATCTTATGAACCTCGGATGTTAATGTAACTTTATTGGAATCTAATGAAGCTGTTGCGCGATGGATTGGTATTGTTGGCCCTGATAATAATGGAGTTGATTGCTGTTGCTCAGATGAAGGACTGAAAGCGCGTGACCGTTTACCCTTCAATGTTTTTGGTGCCGACGATCTTGTTGGAACTGTTTCGTTTGGGGTGTTGTCAGAAGGTAGTGTCTTCGGTGATTTATTTCGCTGAAGAGGCGGAGCATTATTATCAAGATTATCTGTCAAGCAAGATCCGTTATTTTGGTCAACAAAAAACGATCTTGAATTTTTTATTCTATAAAGTTCTTCAATTTGCTTTATTTCTTCGTTTGCTTTTTCAAAGATGTCTAGACCATCACTCGAGCTCATATATCCAGAGTCTCCTCGTGACATTGTTTTGTTTTTGAATAATTAAACGTTGATAAATAGAATTATATATAAATTTACAAATCTAAGGATCCACCTGCCAAGGTCAGGTAAAAAAAAAAAAAGGATTGATAAATTAACAACATGATAACATACGTATATTGAAAAGTCCAAAAGAATGCACAGAAACCAATAACTTACCAGGGAGCTTTAATTATACGACGTATATTATTATTTTTTAATAAACACTATCCAAATAACCAGGTATTTCACTCGCCAAATTATTATTGCGACGATGGTACTTGCGCAAAAAAATTATTAGAGCTATTGGCGCAAGCTGGAAAGCTTGGGAAGAGTGAAAAGTCAGGAATTTGGACAAATGTAGCGGAAATGAACTTTATTTGATGCACTTTACGGGGATGATGCCTGAAGATCAGTGGTGTTTATACTTTTTTTGTTTCGAAAAAATGCACCTAATGGAAATCCCTTTCAAATATGTAGACTTGGTGAAACAAATTTACATTAGTTTAATGCACGATGTGATGTCACTTGGGAAAGTATAAAGAATTGAGAAAAAAAAATAAAAGAAATGCAGAAAAAATTTCAGAGTCGAAACTGGCACACACATCGAAAGATAGCGTTTTTTATATTCTAAATTCTATTATAATATTATTATTG